GGCGGCGAGGCAGAGGCAGGCAGATCTCTTGTGAGTTTGAGGACAGCCTGGTCTACAGAGCCAGACCCAGGACAGGCACCAAAACTACACAGAGAAACCCTGTCTGGAAACACCAAAAGAATCCAGAAATTTCTCAGTCCACAAGGCTGGATGTCTCAGCTGGTCTTCTGTAGATGCTGGAATCTTGAAGAAGTGAAGGAATGGACTTGCTAGCAAGGCAGAAGGCAAAGAGCAAAAACTTCCTTCGTCAATGTCTTTATATAGGCTTCCAGCAGAAGGTGTGGCCCAGATTAAAGGTGTGTCTTCCCACCTCAAAATCTGTATCAAAGGTGTGTGTCTTCCAACTTCAGAAGTCTGGACTACAAGTGGATTCACCCACTTCAAACAAAGCAAAAAATCTCACAGGTGTACCCTCCATTTCTGGATTACAATTCATTCCAGATGTAGTCAACTTGACATCCAAGAATAGCCATCACAATTACATACTAAAAAGAGAAAACTGCTCCTGATCAACAAGGAAATGATCTTTTAAAAAGCTGTGCCACTCGTAAGTATGTCTTATTTTGCAGCAGCCACTCAGATGTAGCCAAGGATGTTAACCCCAAACAAACCTTGTGGTGATATTTTGTTTGTACTCCAACAAGTAAAGTTTGCCTGAAGATCAGAGGGCAGAGCCAGCCCCTAGATTAAACATGGAGACCAGGCAGTGGTAGCACATACCTTTAATCCTAGCCCCTTTAATCCTAACTCAGATGGATCTCTGTGAGTTCAAAGCTGCCCTGTACTACTTGAGATTAATCCAGTCTAAAAGAGAAACAAGTGGCACATACCTTTAATCCCAGTACTTGGGAGTCACACACCTTTAATCCCAGTACTTGGGAGTCACACACCTTTAATCCAGTACTTGGGAGTCACACACCTTTAATCCCAGCACTAGGAAGGTTGAGACAGGAAGTGATAAGGCTGGGCAGAGAAAGGAATATAAGGCAGAAGGAGACAGGAGTTTGGTGCCTTTTTGGATGAGGACTCAGAGGCATTCAGTCTGAGGATTTATGCGCCTCCCTTTAGGCCTGAGGATTCGGTAGTGGTGAGAATTTTCTTTAGTGGCTTGGTCCTTTGTTTCCTCTCATCTTTCAGCATTTATCCCAATATCTGGCTCCGGGTTTTTATCATAAGACCAATAAGGATCCATGCTATAATCTTTCTTGGAATTTATAGTTAGAAAAGTCAGTGAATTACCCCACACCTGTAGTAAAATGGTCCTGGCACTGTCTCCATCCTCCCTCTTCCCAGATGAGCATGCTTACTGGTTACTGTTCCAACACTGTTCCTGAAGTATGTAGGAATTATAACCATTTTGGTTCCTGGGGCTTCAGAGCAGCAGAGACAACACCTAGACCTGACCAAAGACACTTCTAGAAAACCGGTTTTAGGGGATAAAACCACCTGGATTATGACCTTTGAAAATGGAGTCATTGTGTTGCCAAATGTGAAAGCAAAGCTCAGTGCCTGGTAACCAGAGGGGTATATAGAGGCAGAGGCTTCTAGGAAACTCACACATCCCATTTTCTTTCCTTAAAGTCTACAGGGTCACATGACTACTAGCCAATGGGCTGAGTGACACACTCCAGGTAAAGGACTATTGCTAGAGTGAGAATTTTCAACACTCTCTTTCAACACAAAAGTGAGATTGTTTCCTTTGGAGATTGCCTGGATGCAGTGGGTTCTGAGTAAGAAACAGCTTTGGCTGGGTTTTTTTATGGGGGAGGGGAGGAGGGAGGAGGTTTTGAGACCCGGTCTCTCTGTAATAGCCCTGGCTGTACTGGAACTTGATTTGCAGACCAGACTGGTCTAGAACTCACAGAGATCCACCTGCCTCTGCCTCCCAAGTGCGGTGATAAAAGTCACGTGCCACTAGGCACTGCTCAACTTTGGTTGTTTTAGGTGACTGGGATTTGGTATTAATGCAGTTTAACCCATCTTGCCCTAAGAAATACAGGATTAAGCCAGGCAGTGGTGGCACATACCAGCCTGGTCTACACAGTTAGTCCCAGGACAGCCAGGGCTACATAGAGAAACCCTGTCTTGAAAAACAAAACAAAACAAAACAAAAAACAAAAGCGAAAAGGAAAAGAAAAAGGAAGACAGGATTATTTGGGCTGGAGAAATGGTTGCTGTTGGCTATTCACCAGACATGAGTTTAACCAATAGAAAGTCTTTATTAGCTGGCTGGTGACTAACCTGGGTGTTTGAGGTCCCAAAGTAGCCCTGAGCCTTTCTCAGGGTGAGTTTTTAAGCACAAAAACTATGTCCTGATTTTTTGCGTACTTCAACCAATAGTCAGATACAGAACTAGAGAAGCAAAAAAAAATAAATAAATAAAAAAATAAGATTAGTACATTTAGAGACTTTCTTGGAACTATGGACTTTGATGGATTAAGTCTTTGTTTCAGTTTTTTGGCAGGTGGTGCTGTCTACATGCTGAGTTTTACAGCCTGAATGGTACTTCCCCCATACAGGACTGGGGCTCTGTTATAGCTCAGCAGTTAAGAGCACTGACTGCTTTTCGAGAGGACCCTGATTCAATTCCCAGCACCCATATTTGTCGGTAACTTCAGTTTCAGGGGATCCAATACCCTCACACAGACACACATGCAGGCAAAATATCAATGCACATAAAATAAAAATAAATCATAAAAAAGAATAAGAGGGTTATTTGCAAACATTTTGGGTATTTCTACTTGGGAGTATTCCATGAAATGTATGAAAATGCTTTCAGGAAACCCACCAACTTCTAAAACTACAAATATTTGGCAAATGTTTTTCTGGGGATATATAAATATCAAGATTTCTTTTCTCAGTTCCTGTTACAAGAGGGAGCCCTAAAATTAAGACTCACTCTTCTCTCTTCGGCTTTCTCTTTGGTACTATCAGAGCTGTTATCATTGGGACATCCTTCTTTGCTAGATGTTACTCCCGACAGCATGTAAGCAATATTTGAGGTTTTTTTCCTTATGTGATGGCTGGTTTTATGACAACTCAACACAAGCTAGAGTCAGAGGAGAGGAAGGAGCCTCAAGTGAGAAATATGCCTTGTGATGGTATTGTGTTCCCCCAAATATTGTGCATGCTAATAAACTTATCTGGGGTCAGAGACAGAACAGCCACAATATTAAACATAGAGGTTAGGCAGTGGTAGCACATGCCTTTAATCCTAGCATTCCAGAGGCAGAAATCCCTCTGGATCTCTGTGAGTTCAAGGCCACATTGGAAACAGCTAGGCATGGTGACTCATGCCTTTAATCTCAGGGAGTGATAGCAGAAAGCAGAAAGATAATGTAAGGCATGAGGACCAGAAACTAGAGGCATTTGGCTGGTTAAGCTTTCAGGCTTTCAAGCAGCAGTTCAGCTGAGATTCATTCTGGATGAGGACTCAGAGGCATCCAGTCTGAGGAAAACAGGATCAGCTGAGGAACTGGCAAGGTGAGGAAGCTGTGGCTGGTTCTGCTTCTTTGACCTTCCAGCATTTACACCAATACCTGGCTTCAGGTTTGATTTTATTAATAAGTACCTTTAAGATTCATGCTACAATGCCTCCTCAAGATAGGGCTGTCAGCAAGCCTATTGGACATTTTCAAATTAGTGATTGATGTGGGAGGGAGGGCCCAGCCCATTGTGAGTAGTGCCACCCCTGGGCTGGTCTTGTGTGCTATAAGAAAGCCAACTTGCCAGGTGGTGGTGGTGGCGGCGGCGGCGGCGGCGGCGGCGGCGGCGGCGGCGGCGCACGCCTTTAATCCCAGCACTCGGGAGGCAGAGCCAGGCGTATCTCTGTAAGTTCGAGGCCAACCTGGGCTACAGAGTGAGATCCAGGACAGGCACCAAAGCTACATAGAGAAACCCTGTCTCAAAAAACCAAAAAAAAAATAAATAAATAAAATAAAATAAATAAAATAAAATAAAAAATAAAAAAAAATAAAAGAAAGAAAAAGCCAACTTAACAAGCCATGGAGAGCAAGCTAATAAGCAGCACTCCTCCATGGCCTCTGCATCATCAACTCCTGCTTCCAAGTTCCTGCCCTATCCTTCCCTAGGAAGTGCAAAATAAACCCTTTCCTCCCCAAGCAGCTTTTGGTCATGGTGTTTCTTCACAGTAACAGAAACTGTAACTAAGACACTGCCACTTGACATATTTTCTCATTACTCCTCACTTCTTGAGAGATTTCTTGTGTTCACTGCTATATCCCTAATGCCAGAGAGCAGGTATCAATAAACACTTGTTAAGTGAATACAAATGAAACTATGTAACTTTCATCATAACCTCAGGAAGCTTCATGACTCCAAAAAAGTTAAAACAAATATGTACACATTTCCTAGTGTACAATCCTCTCTAAATAACTCAAACCATCCTGAGAAATAGCAGACAGATTGAATATTCACCACTGACAGACACTACAAACAGCCCATGTAAGATTTTTTTTTTCTAGACTGAGGATGCAGTTCAGTGGAAGAACTACTAGATACAATCCCCAGCACCAGGTAGGGAGCAGATTTTTTTTATTTTAAAGTAGTGCATTCCTAAAACATAAAGGTTGCTATGAACCAAACGTTTATGTCCCATTCACAAACTCCCCATATGAGAGTTACATGAACTGGGGCCTTTGGAAAAAGATTTGGTTATGAGAGTGAAGCCCTCATAAATATGATTAGGACCTGTAAGAGAGATGTCATAAAGCTCCCTTTTCCTTTTAATCAAGTAAATAAACACTGAGGTGACATTATCAGAAAATCTGATGTAGACCTCATTTAGACAGTGGCTCTGCTTGTACCTTGATCTTGAGATTCCTGATCTCTAAAAGTGTAGAAGAGAAATTTTTGTTGTTCATGAGCTCCTCAAATTATACTTTGTCATAGCAAGCCAAGGGGACTAAAACAGATGTAAACACAATGTTTATATAATTCTCTGTCAATAACATACAATGCAAAACTCCAGGACCAAACTGTTAACATAAAAATTTAATGTTTATTAAATATCTATTATGATGTTTATATATACAGCAATGACAAAATGATGCTCAATAAGTTACACAGATATTTTAAAATACTATAAAAATGGATGAGTAGAAGTGATACCATGAGTTTATTATTGATACTTGAAAATAGTCATGTATCTTTGAAACACATTTGAATTTTTGATGATTTCTACATTAAGAAAAACATTTTACTACAGAAATCATTTCTCCAATAATGCAATGGATGCTATCTAATAGCTTGATTTTATTGCACATATTTGGTTTAGGTTTATTTGATCAGATGTCATGCAGAAAAATAAGCTGAGTATGAAGTTCATGAAAGTAGGCAGGATGTTATTTTGTACAACAAAAATTCAATGTGTGGTGATATTTCACAGCTAAATCTTCAGGAAATTGTATTCAACTATTGCATAAAATCACTAATTAATCACACATGCAAGCTAAAAGTTTTTAAATACAGTAATTTAGCTTTGTTGATATATTACTCTGAGCTGATAATAACAATCACTTCCTTGACCACTTAAATAGGTGGTCTTTATATAATTTTTAAAACATTAAACAACATATCTTAAGTATAGATGTATATTTATCTATGTCACATTCCCATAATTGGCACATCATGAAAATTTTATCGTTTTACAAACAGAAGAACCAGGGGAGAATTGGGGCCAGAGGTACCCTGTGAACCAGTTTCTAGACAAAAGCCTCCCTCTTTTACCTTTCAAATTTACTGTGCCAAACAGTATGTAGTTGTGTTGATCTGTAAACATTCTTGTTTATTTGCACTGTTTCCCGAGGTATCTGGAAACTTATTGTTATTACAGAAGTCTCACAATTTAAAATTCCTGCAAATGTGCTTTGGAAAACTTCAAAATAAAAACATAACTTTAAGTGTAGACTTGAATGATCTTTCTCTATTACAAAATCTAGATAAGAAATTTCTAGGTATCAAAATCAAACCATTTTCCTCCATTTTTAGATGGCAAGAGAAATACTATAAGCTTAGAGCATAAAAAAATACACTTCAGAATCTCCTCAATTAGCACTAAGTTATAAATAAAAGTATTTTATTTGCATGTCACTGCTAGAATAATGTGTAAAATCACACAGCTTTTAGGTTTTCCTATTTTAAATTGTGATAAAATACTGTTATATGCTAGGTATGAGTACCTGCCTAGATCTCTCTCTCTCTCTCTCTCTCTCTCTCTCTCTCTCTCTCTCTCCTGTCTCTCAAGACAGGATTTCTCTTGTCCTGGAACTTACTTTGTAGACCAGGCTGGCCTTGAACCCAAGAGATCTGCCTGCCTCTGCCTCCTGAGTGCTGGGATTAAAAGTTTGTGTCACTATCACCCAGCTATTTTTTTTTTTAATTATTCTCTCATCTATTATATCACCATCACAGTATATCCCTCCCCTCCCTGCCATATATTTCTTAAAAGTATATTTTCTAGGAGAAAAAAGGTAACTATTTACAGTTAGAGGGCATGGGGAAGCAATTGTTATGACCAAGATATCAACTTGAACAAATAAATTATTTTTCTAACTCATTGTTCTGGTGCTAGAATATTCCATGTCAATGATTTTTGATGAAAATGGAAACACTGAAAAGTTCTCTTTAGAGGACACAACTGAGCTCTGCAGATAAAATATAACTCTTCATCTTAATATGAAAAATCAATAGAATCATCATTGAAATTTCCTCCACAACTTAAAAATAGAATTTATTAATACAATGGTATTTTAAAATTTCTGCATTAGACAAATCACAGTTTCGCCCATCCACATATCAAGAGGCAACACTGATGACTTCAGAATGTCACCATGTCTGGCGAAAGGTCTGCACAATTTACAGCCTCTCTCCCCGACATCTGTCCACAGTATCACACACTAGCACTGATGATTAGGATATCGAACCATTCCCTTACATTTTCATTCAATACCATGTGTCAGTGAACCACCTCAGTGATTATTTAAATTCTGGGTAGTAATATTTCTCATGCTAAGTTTCACAGTTTAATCATCTGAATTCTAGAAGGGGAAACTATTCTGTGTTACTCCTTAGTCATTTGAAGTACCAACCCTGTGCCCCATTAAAGTAAAAGCCAAGCCCACCCAAATTTTTGATTTGTGTTGCTGGGGATGGAACCGGGGTCTGGCACAGTCTAGGTGAGTGCTCAGCCACAGAACTACACTCCCCGCTACCCACCTGAACTTTTAAATGATGCTTCAGAAGACAACACCCTGTTTAATATTTACCAAAGTATAGAAGTAGAAAATGTATTATATTCCCTTGTTACTGATAAGAATATGATTTTTTATCATTTATAAATATAATTTGTTAATTTATAGTTCAGAGATATCCTTAAACTTTAAATTCTATGTTCCTATATGGATTATCAACTTCTATTTACTGTTTCTGCGTGTTACAATTACCTACATTTTTATTTTGGTTTTCGCCAGTCACTTACAAATTATCTTTAACAGGCTGCAAATGATTATGAAATGTTTCAATATTTTGAAATACACTAAACAATAAGCTAATCAATACACTAGTTGTAAACTCACACTACCAAAATGACAGTGGCTCCTTTTTACATGACCGAATCACATAAAATATGAAAAATAATTATGTTACATTAGGCACTAGTTCAGCCTGTTCTAGCAACATTTCCTGTACAGTAGCACACACACCACTGCAAAGCCCTGAGATGATTTTAAGTGGAGTGGTACAAGGATGAACAACTTACTTTATAACAACAGTTATAAACTCACTTCAATTCTTCACTAGAAAAATAACAAGCACATAAAAAATGTTAAGTACGATTCAAAACAGGGCCAAGATTTTAAAAGGCTACAACAAAAAGTAAGTCAATTATAACACAAGATATATTACATGCACTCAGGAAAGCTGTATTACATTTAGGAAACAGTATATTAAAATATGATTCAATTTACCACCATCTCTGAATGTCTGTAATGATGAGTCATATCATAAAGGTGACTTCTCTACTACTATCAAAAAGAGTATTTTTTGAGAAAGGGATCTCCAAGGACATGACAATTAATATGAAACATATTTTTGCATTTAAGAATATAGATCTGAAAGCATTAACTAATTAATTTGTTTTGTCTTATTTTTTGAGACAGAGTTTCTCTATGTAGCTCTGGTTATACTGCAAGCCACTCTGTAGACCAGGCTGGACTCAAACTCATATATCTACCTGCCTCTGCCACTTGAGTGCTGGGATTGTTAAGGCGTGTGCCCCAACAGCCTGGTGTATTAATTTCTTTTTAAAGGATTCACCATATGATGAAAAAGTAAAATAACACTGGAAGGATGCACTATTCCTAAAGACTACAAAGGCACATTACATATTATGGTTACCATTACAGCATTAAAATAAACATGAGCTAATTAACAGTTAATAGATAATTATAATATTCTTTCATAAAAAAGAAGATAAGCTTGTGCACTAAGTGCTCTTGATTCTGGAACCACCTGCACGTAAGTGTCGCTGACATGGACCCAGTGGCCTCCCAATTCACTATCAGGTTCTTTCAAACCTAGGAGAACAAAAAAGTACAGTTTTACAGTTAGTGTGTTTATGTCCTCTAAATTGTAAGCAGCAACACATTCTTCATTAAATATATTTAATTCTAACATCATATGAGTTTTTTCTTAGATTAAGTATTACCTGAAATGAACTAATGTTTTTGAAGCACCAATATCACTAATAAATTATGCCAATAATTTCTTCCAGTTAATAAAATTTTAATTTAAATATCTAGTGGAATATTAGCCTTGTTATATTTAATTTCGCTGAGAAAAGATTTACTTTAATCAAAAAGGATGAAGGAGGAGACTGAGAGATGGCGCAGGAAGGAAAGGAGCTTGCTGTACCAACCTGGCCACCAATGCGATCCCCAGAACCCACACACAGGTGGAAGGAGAAAGCGGAGTACACAAACTGTTCCCTGACCTCCAAACACATGCACATATACATACAGTAAACACACAGACACATAAATAATAAATACATTTTAAAAAACTAATAAAGGGTTAGGGATTTAGCTCAGTGGTAGAGTGCTTGCCTAGTAAGCGCAAGGCCCTGGGTTCGATCCTCAGCTCTGAAAAAAAAAAAAATAATAATAAAGAGCTGAGCGTGGTGGTGCATGCCTCTCTAATCTCAGCACGAGGAAGGAAGAAGCAGGTGGAACTCTGTGAATCTGAGGCCAGCCTGACCTATTACAGCGAGTTCCAGGTCAGACAGGGTTATGTAGTGAGACCCTTTGTCAAAACAAAAACAACAAAAAATCCAACCCAGCAACAGCAACAAGAACTAACAAGGGGGCGTGGGGGTGGGGCGTGGGGGGTGGGGGTTGGGAGACGGCTCAGCATGGACCGAGCACATACTGCTCTTGCAGAGAGGATCAGAGTTCGGTTCTCAGCACTCATGCTGGGCAAATCACAACCACCTCTGTAACTCGAGCTCCAGAGGATTCCAATGCTCTCTTCTGAACTGTATGGGCAACTGCACTCATAGCTGCACATTCACACACAAGTACACATTTAAAAAATCCAGGGGATGGGGAAGCAAATCTAATGGCCTTTCAGCATAGCTAGCACATTTCCAAGTCCCACTCTTTTCAGGACCTCATAGAGCTTCAGAAGATGGGGTATCACTGCTGAGGAGGTTGCTCAGTGGTCAGCGCTATCTACACAAGCCTGGTGATCTGAATTTGACCCCAGAACCAGTACAAAAAAAAGCCAGATATCAGTGTTGTATATCAGTCATCCCAACAGTCCTATGGGGAGATGGGAGGCAGAAACAAGAGGGTCACGCAGAAGTCCCCAGGTCTGGAATACACAGCACAGTGGCAAAATCAAGAGAACAAGGTGGAAGACCAGAACCGACCGCTGGACTTCACTCTGGGACAGCCCACTATGCTATACACACCAGCACACACACCAGTACACACACAAACACACGCGCACACACACACACACACACCAGTACACACACACACACACACACACACCAGTACACACACACACCAGTACACACACACACACCAGTACACACACACCAGTACACACACACACACACACACACACTTTTTACAAAACCAAAAACCACTGAAGTAACTGTAAAATATCACTTGTCACTTCATAATGCCTAACAGGATACTACTTTGGGATTATTATTAAGATTCTTAAAGATTATCTATGCAGATTTAAGATTAATCAAATAAATCCATGTGGAGAACCTGTAAAATATAAATTCTTTCATCTTTGAGACTAAACTATGCTTAGGAGGGCTTACCTGGTACAGGTTTCCTTGCAGTCATGGACTCTGATAGCTCCCTGGAGGGTACTCTCACTTTCACGTACGCAGTGTAATGGCCTCCTCTCATTGAGCCACTGTGTTCCACGATACCATAGAGAGCGTAGAGAACCTTCTCTCCCACACTTATATTCTTTCAAACAAAGGAAAAAAGTAGTAAAGTTCAGTGAAAAACTGCTTGAAAAACGAAAATACATCAGAGCAATGTATTCTTCAAACCAAACTGGGATACTCTGTGCTTCTCAAGGAACAGAAAGTTCACTATGGAACAGCATTAGAAAAACAAAACAAAGAGAGGGGACTACCAGACTCAAATTTATCCAGTCTTCTTTAATTACAACTGCATGTACGTAGAAAACAATAATGACAAAGAGATAATCATCAAAAGCCAAATTATGGCAAAAATCAAGAAAGATTCCAAAAGGAGAAAAAAGAAATGTATTAAAACAGTATTCAAGGCATCACTGATTTATTTGTAAACTAATTCATTTTAATTATTGTATTGATTTTTAAAATGAATCAGTATACATTTATGATACAACAGGAAACATAAACACTGATTATGAAGGATATATTAAATGACATTGTGGTTGTGTTAAAATGGGAGAGAGGGCTAGGATCACAGCTCAGTGCATGTGACATGTGTTGGGTTCAATTGCCACCTCCACCCACAAAAAAAGGAATCTAAAGAAGAAAATACACGGTGGTTAGCTGGTACAAGCCTGTAGCCCCAGCACATGGAAGGCTGAGGTAGAGGGCTCAGGATGTCAGGACCAGTCTGGGCAAGATCATTTCTCAAAAGATAAGCATAACAAAACAAAACCAGGAAAGGAGCCCAGAGTAATTATTATATTTCAGACATGCATAATGAAGTGATACCTGATCTGTTCTTCAAAGCAGTAACAAAGGACAGAGTAGAAAAGTATATGGATGAGGAGAAGGGCCAAGACCGGCCACAGACCCGAGATTTTAGGAACGGATGGTGGGGATTCATTGTACTGTTCTGTCTACTATTAAGTATGTTAGAAATTCTTTAGAAAGGGTACTTTCAAAAATACTGTGTTCTCAAAAACTAAACACTGAGCTTAGAAAGCCTCATTCTTATTTGCTGTATTATCTATTACTTCTAGAAATACTGAGTGTTAGTACTGAATGTTAGTAACCAACAGAGCTGGTATTCCACATCAAATAAGTTAGATTCACCAAAAAGCTGCAGTCAGTTAGTCAATGTATTGGATTTATTAAGTTCCAATAAGTATCCAATGACATACCACAAAACCTGGACTTCTGGCCAATAACCATGAATATGACACTCTATTACCTTAAAACTATTTTCCTCAATAAAATGTGAATCAATTTTACCTGCACAAGTCTTACATGTAAGTACATGAAAGCAATTATAAACCTTGTTAGTAAGGTATTAGCAATTTGAACCTATTTTATTCGGCTGACAAGTATCCGAATATCGGTAGTATACATAAAATGGCATAAAAAAACAATGCGTTAGTGTGTTTATTTGCAAAAGATACAGACAGATGCTAAAACTATAGCTTATTGGCTCACTCAGAGGAACAGGAGGGCACAAAGCCATCATATCATCTGCTAATAATGAACAGGTAGTTTTGATGTTCGGGATCCATGCCTAATGCTTTACTCATCTTTGTTCCAAAGAACAAAAGTCATATTTGATATATTAATATGCCACAATTGCTCATTTAAGAAAAGAAGCTTATCTAAACAAAACAAAAGCATAGTCTAATAAATAATAAAAGTATTCGTTTAAGCATTTCACTTGCTAGTTAATCAAATGTCTTAATATATCATACCTTACAGGAAGCAGCACAGAATGGTGCTAAGTCAAGGGTAAGCGGAAAGTCTACGTGTCTGTTCACTTTACGGAGACTCAAGCCAGCCTTAAAAAGACAAAATAATGTTTTCAGTAAAACAAACTTAGTTAAGTTTAAAGTACTATGTTGTCAATTAAAACCAAAAAAATTCTAGAAATTATTATTCTCATAGATACAAATAAAACACGATTAATAGTAGTCACATCAAGTTTCACATATTAAAAATTAATTTCATATATTGTTATTAGAAAGGTTATTTGTTCACATGGGATTTTTTTTTAACCATGAATAAGGTAAATAATTACTTCCTTTGTGGTTTTTACAACAATTAAGGGAAAAGTAAGTCTAATGTGCTAAAAGCTAGTCCTCTGACCCATACTGTCATGGAAATAGAGTCAACAGAGTCCAGGGTACCTAATTCAGTGACTAGTCAAAAATGAACTTGACTATGGGCAACCTTATCTAGGTCAAGTCAGAAATGGGTGCAAACAGGTCTTTTTAGGTTCTTTTCGTTTCTAAAATTCAATGAAATTCACTCACTATGAAAGAACTCGAACACTTGCAATAGTTTTCAATAAAAGTTAACTTCACATTGCAGAAATCAAAAGAACTTTTATAATCTTCAGAAGACTCTACCTCCTTTTCTATTTTTACTTTCCAAAGCTAACCTTGAAAAATGTTTCCATAACTTTGGCTATGGAGAATCATGAGCTTTTTGGTTTGTTTTGGTTTTGATTCTTTCGTTGTTTGAGACAAGTTCTTTCTATGCAGCTCTGGCTGTCCTTGAACTGACAAAGGTTTCCCCTGCTTCCCTACCCCCTCCTAGTGCTGAGACTAACGGTGTGGGCTTTAGTCATTAACAAATATCTAAGTCTTCCCTTCCCCTCCCTCCCCTTCTCCTTCCCCCTCCCCTTCCTTTATAACCACTTCACCAAAGGAGCAATTTTCCTAGTCTTCAATTACTAATTTTATTTTAAAATACAAAACAAACAAAAAAAACCCCTAACTTAAAAAAAGAAGTTAGTGCTGGGCAGTGGTGACACCCACCTTTAATCCCAGCACTCGGGAGGCAGAGTCAGGTGGATCTCTGTGAGATAGAGGCCAGCCTGGTCTACAGAGCGAGTTCCAGGACAGCCAGGGCTGTTACACAGAGAAACACTATCTCAAAACCACACACAAAAAACAACAACAATAAAAGAAGATACAGTACTTAGTAGTCTATATTTCTTTCTTCTTCTGGAGAAATTAAAAGCCATTAAAAAAAAAGTAGTCAGGGCTGATGGCACAGCCTATAATCCAGCTGCCTAGAAGGCAGAGCAAGAAGACTGCAATTTCAAAGCCTTTCCAGACTACCCAGAAAATTCCAGAGTAGCGTGGGCAACTTCCCAAGACTCTGCCTTTAATTTAAAAAAAGAAAAGAAAACAGGACAAAAGATGTAGGTCAGTGGCAGAGCATCTGCCTAGCAAACCGAAAACCCTGGGTTCAAACCAAATACCAGGGAGAAAAACAAAGCATCACTAGACAGGACACAAGGTTAAATGATAAATAGTTCAAGAAAAACCACCTTTCCTTTAACACTAAAAACATCTATGTGTCGTTCACGTCCATCTGTGCCCCCAGCCTTATAGACCTTCCCTCAAAGCCTTCCTGTGCTGAATCCCTAGTCAACACTGCCCCGCCCAAACACCACCTCAGCCTGGTCGTGACAGTTCAAAAAGTTGTGTGGGCTTTGCCTTTTTGCTCCTTTAATTCCACTTAACACATGTAGTCTCCATTCAAACACACCTGTGATCACATGCCACTTAGAGACATCACTGAGGTTCCCACCACTTAAATCTTCTAATATTGTTAATCAAGCTTTTTCCCCCCAGTGCAGGACATCTCACATGACAATTTTTTTAATTCAAGGAAATGCTTGACAATTTCCCGCAGGTCTTATGGCTCTGCAAACATATGAAACTGGCTGTAGTGTTAGTAAACAGACTCTTACCTGGTGGAATCTTTTAAGATGAAGAATTAGGATAGCTGGAACAGCAGATATAAGGAGTTGCTTCCTGGCATTAGTATAAACTCCTCCTGCTTTCTTTTCTGTATAAAACAACCAATTTACTTGTAAAATTCCATTGACTATATTACTTAGAATTTGATAGACATTTAATAAAAGCTATTTATATAGTATTACACCATATGTTTTGTGGGGTTTTTGTTTGTTTTGACAGTTTCTCTGTGTAATCCTGGCTGTACTGGAACTCAGAGATTTGCCTGCCTCTGCCTCCCACGTGTTGGGATTAAGGTGTGCACCACTGCCACTGCCATCGTTTTGATTTTTAAAGACAGGTCTCTGCATGTAGCCCTGGCTGTCCTGAAGCTCACTGTGTGGACCACAGAGATCCACCTGCCTGCCTCTGCCTCCCCAGTGCTAGGACTGCAGCATGTGCCACCGCCCTCGGCTCTCACACAGGGGCCGGGATCAGAACTCAGTCTTTATGCTTGTTTCAGCAAACACTTGACCTGCTAAGCCCCCTCCCCATCCTAAGCAACAGTGTAGTCACTGAGATTATTCTTTCCATTCATTAATGTGAGTGATGTATTGAAAATCCATTGGTGAGAATTCCCACTTTTCTCTAATCAAGCAAACACTGGATTCATGGCATAAACATACTTAAGAACTTCAAATACTTTTTTGGATTTATAAGAAATTGAGAGGATTTGTGAAGGCCAGTAATCTCAAGTCCCACTAGTGATGAAGCTGTAAGTTTTAAGACTATTTCAGGAAGGTTTCAAATCCCTCAGATTAGAATATATGAGTTTGTATTTTCAAGACAGAGACATGTCCTTCTTGCTCTTCAGTTACTGCAACATCTGCTGGGAATCTATTTGCCTAGCCAGTGTCCTGAGTGGAGAGACAGGTAAGGAAGACAAGGCCTGTGCCAAGTGGCTCAATGCACGCAGGTTCTGGAGCGCCCCATCAAGGAACTATAAACTACTCTTCCCCTACAATGCATCACAAGCCAGAAACAAAGCAAGCTAGATGTTTACCTGCAGAACTGGTTTCCTTTTGACACTTCTGCTTCTTTTCAGTACAGTCCTCACAGAGAAGCTTATTGTTGCCCATCAGCAACTCCATGGATGTGAACTGGTAGAGACAGGACTGCACTGAGCATTCTTTAGAAGTAGTTACATAGCTCTGAGAAAGAGTCTGGAAAGCATTTTGGGCACTATGAAACCTCATATGTCTTCCCTCTGAAAAACACAAGTTACTGGGGACATCGAGTGGCTGTTTTTCCCTGTCACCGTCTCTATTTCCAATTACAGCGCTGCCCAGACGAAGTCCAGCAATTGCCTCAGCCACGTCTGCATCCCCACTGGGAGTCTCTGCGCTGTGTGGCAGTTCACTTGCCAAGGCGAGGGGGAGGTGCTGCTCCGTGTGCCCCCAGGAATCGCCGCTGGATCGGAGCAGCACAGTTCGCTTGGAAGCGCTCTCGGACTCAGAAGCTTCACTGTCGGCGTCCACACTGCTTTCACAAAGGCTGCCTTCTTTCTCACTGCCGTCGGTGGGGCTCTCGTTCACTGATGACTCGGTACTCATGACGCTGGCAAACCCGCTCCCGTCAAAGTTTTCGTTCTTCTGATGCATAACACCAGTTTTCTCTTCTCCAGATATTAATTTTCTTAAGGGTTTTCGGTCATGACTTAGTTGATTCTGTAAGTTGACAGTATGTTTCAGAGAAAAGAATTTTGTGACCTTATTGAAAACAAATGCCATGAGTCCCATTTAACTGCCCCAATTACTAAATAAACATTTCTCTGAGATCCATTTCAAAATCTACCTAAACGACAATCAACAGATGATAGACTAATTTGCTCTAATTTAAATCTAATCTATTACCCGGGAGACTAACAGCAGGGGCTGCCATGTGTGGGGAAGGGGATGGGATTTCTGTAGAACATGGCTATGAGAAAAACTTAGGCCTTTCATATAGGTATAAGACATCTATTTCTATCACTATGTATTTGGTCTAGTCAAGAGCACAAAATAAAAGATGAATAATAGCCGGGCAGTAGTGGCACACACCTTTAATCCCAGCACTTGGGAGGCAAAAAGAAAGGAGGATCTCTGTGAGTTCGAGGCCAGCCTGGTCCACACAGCAAGTTTCAGGACAGTCAGGACTATGGAGAGAGACCTTGTCTCAAAATAACTAAACAAACAATGAACAAAAACAGAATAGCACAAGCTAAAGAAAGTCGTTACAAACTCAGATTTTACTAGCCAGTGCTTTAGAAAAGCACATCAGAACGTGCAGTGCCTTCATCGTTTCCATCTATGAAGCTCCAATCACAGCACTTCTATTCTCCATTGTTGGAAAAGGCACATGGTCAAGAGTATCAACCACCCTAGGGATCTTACAAGCAGAAATGAGACAGACTTTATTTGAAGGTTACACCTGTAATCTGAGCACTTGGGAGGTTGAAGCAAATTTCAGGCCAGCCTGAGCTAAATATTGAATTTTGGGCTAGCCAGAATTATAATACAACAAGACTGTCTCAAAAAAACAAAACAAAACAAAAACAAAATCAACCCGACAACCAAACAGATGATGGACAGATAACTAGTAAGATAAAATACTACAAGAGATAAACCATACATTCTATCTTTTGTAGTTTTGTCCCTATAAGATTTCTAACAGAGTAGCTTCAATTTCATGTCACTTTGACGAGTCAGTACAATTTATTTTACATAAAAGGCATTCTCTTTAAATAAAATACAAATCAGATTGATTTCTTTCTATTTTAATAGAATAGTTAACAACCAGACATGTCTCTAGAAAAATTAAGTATTGACAATGTGTTTGAATAGCTAGCAATGAAAAGATATACACGAAGAATTATACATCCCTACTTGAATATAAACCACCATTTAAACTCAGTATCTCCCCCTCCTCTGCCCAGCCCCATTGCCCCCATTTTGTTTTGTTTACAGTTTCAGAGACAAATCTTGCTACTGTAGCTCAGCCCAGGCCGGAATTACTGTGAAGCTCAACTTGGGATCCTCCTGCTTCAGCCTCTGGAGTGCTAGGAATACAGACATGTACCACCACACCTGGCTAGATGTTGTCTTGCTGAAAACTAAATAAACAATCAAAGCTAAAATTTGGCCTCTAGATCTAATTTGTAGTAGAGAAGAAGTAATGGAGAAAAACCTGTCAGAGCCATGGGAACTCAATAGCAAAATGAATTACTGTTGAATGTGGGAAACCATTAACAAAAGGATCACATTGCTTCGGTAAATAGATTGAGACGAGGGAATCTATAGGTTATAAAAAGATTTAAAAAGTGTGCTCATCAACTGTAACCTGTGAACCCTTTTGTTAGATCATAAACCAGAAGCAGGTTTGATATTACTAATGAGTTACTGACAATTTCAAGTATATGCAGGTACTTTGGTAATGTTTGTAGGGAGTATCTTCATTTTTTATTTCTTTGTTGTTCTGGGTGTTGAACATTTGAGCATCGGGAGTGTTCCACTACAGGACTCTATCCAGAACCCCTAAAAAAGTAACTTTTAGTGATGTATTGAGAGGTACATGATATATTTGGGATTTCCTTCAGAATAACCAGGGTTGGAAAAGAGGAAATGATGGAATACATATGATGGAACATAATCAGCCATGAAATGATCATTGTAAAGCTGAGAAACAGGATGGGGGATGTTAATTAGATACTGCTCTTTCTACCTGTGAACATGCTTGAGATATTTCAAAACCAAAACATTAAACACATAACCCACCACAATCTGACTTGCCTTATCTTTAGGTGAGGAATGCATCTTGGCAGCTCTGGGTTGATGGGTATTTTCTACAGCAACGGTGGCATTGTTATGATCTCGGTCTGTCTCCTGTAAACTTCGGCATTTATTCATTTTTCCCAAAAGTACAGGTTTTGAAACCTACGCCACATATAACATAAAACATTTTAAGCAAATAAATTCTTTTCAAATTTCCTAATTTAATAGAAATGTAACAGGGTAATTTTCTCTTTTAAGGAATGCTTGTTAGATTATTTTATTAGTATGGGTGGTTTTGGCATGTGTGTCTGTGCACCACGTGTATTCATTGCCCATAGAGGCCAGAAGAACACGATGGATGCCCTGCAACTTGAACGGGAGTTGAAGAATGTGATCATTTGAATGTAATTGGCCCCCATCATCTCATAGGGAGTAACACTATTAGGAGGTGTGGCTTTACTGGAGTGGGTATGGTCTTGTTGGAAGAAGTGTGTCACTGTAGGGGTGGGTTTTGAGGTTTCCTATGCTCAGGATACTGCCCAGGGTCTCAGTTGACTTCCCGTTGCCTGCAAGATGTAGGACTCTCAGCTATTCTTCCTCCAGCACCACATCTGCCTGTATGCTGCCATGCTCCCTGCTGTGATGATAATGGGCTGAACCTCTGAAACTGTAAGCCAGACCCAATTAAATGTTTTCTTTGTAAGAGTTGCCATGGTCATGGTGTCTCTTCACAGCAACAGAAACCCTAACTAAAACAAGACAGTTGTAAGCTCACAAGCCATGTGGGTGCTTGGAATTGGACCCAGGTCCTCTGGAAAAGCAGCCAGTACCCTTAACTGCTGAGCCTTTTCTCCAACCCATTTTAAAAAGGTAGTTATCTTAACAACTTCAAAATACAAGTGTTGGGATAATCTTTTTGTACACTGTGTAAAGATGTCTCTGTTTTACCTCACCCACCTAAGGCACCCTTTGGTTGGTTTAAAAAAAGAGCTGAACAGCCAATAACTAGGCAGGCAGAGGATAGGCTGGATTCCCGGCAGAGATAGGCATTCTGGGAAAGAATCTGAGGTGGGAGATTCGACAGCCAGACATGGAGGAAGTCGGACATAAAATACTACCACATGGCAAAATGTAGATTAATATATATGGGTTAATTTAAGTTTTAAGAACTAGGTAGGAACAAACCTAAGCTAAAGTCAAGCTTTCATAATTAATAAAAAAAGTCTCCATGTCATTATTCAGGAGCTGGTGGTTCAAAAAAAGTCTGACTATATACAATGCTTCAAGACTGAATTCCAGTAAGAAAATATATATACTTCATACACATGTCCACATACTTGATATCAAACATACTACACAAACTCAGTTCTGTGTAAACCACATGACTCTGAGATATGGATAATAAGCTCGACAGGTGCTTAAATAAATGAATGAATGCATGCTCTTTGCAGGAGTTTTATGATTATTTCTCCTTACCCTTTCTTCTATAATAGGAAGTGAAATATCAATGAAGGGATCCTTCATAGTGGAGATCTTAAAAAGAAAAAGCAGATTGAGAATTTCAGTTAGAATTCTAACACAGATACACATTGTTGGTAAAAAGCAAAAGAAACAAAACTTCCCAGGTGACTTAAAATCTCAAGTTAAAGCACAATATAAAGTGTTAAGGAAAAGCAGAAAGCTGGCGGTGGTGGTGCATGCCTTTAATTCCAGCACTTGGGAGGCAGAGGCAGGCTCTGTGAGTCTGTGAGTTCAAGGCCAGCCTGGTCTACAGAGCAAGTTCCAGGACAGCCAGGGCTGTTATACAAAGAAACCCTGTCTCCAAAACAAAAACTGAAGAAAGAAAGGAAGGAAGGAAGGAGGGATGGAGGAAGGGAGGGAGGGAGGGAGGGAGGAAGAAAACGCAGAGATGACAATGTTTGACAGATTTCTTAGAATAATTCTGTTTTAGAAGATATCTATGTAAGAGAGAAATCAGTGTCTGTGCCCAAAGTTCTATAAATCTTAGTAAAAGTTATAGTCATATTCTATGTTTCAATGTCATAAGCAAGAGGAGATATAATAATCCTGGTTTTATTAACTAGGGAGGGCAGAAAAACTGAACATCCAGACTCTTTACCTATAAAATCTGATAAAAGTTTAACTTATCACACTCAGCCATATTTTTAGAAATATTTTGTTTGTTTGTTTGTTTGTCTGTTTTTCGAGACAGGGTTTCTCTGTGTAGCTTTGCGCCTTTCCTGGAACTTGCTTTGTAGACCAAGCTGGCCTTGAACTCACAGAGATCCGCCTGCCTCTGCCTTCTGAGTGCTGGGATTAAAGGCGTGCGTCACCACTGCCCGGCTAGAAATATTTCTTATCAAGAAGTTGAAAAATCTATAAAAATTCATGCATATTTTATGTTGTTAAGATAGTATTACAATAAGAATTAGTTCTAAATTCAAAGATTAAGTCAAGAGAACAGACACAAACACACTCCTTCTGAATATCACGTAAGCACACACACACACACACACACACACACACACACACACAAAGAAAACCCTCAATCAAATGTGATAGTCTTATGTTGCCACATTTTAGAATACTACACTGTGACAGTTACTTGTTTTTCACTTTGACAGTTACTCATTTTCACAGAAATTTCTCTCTCACCTCAGTCTAAACTAGAAGCTATTACATCTGATCATATTCAGATAGGCTTATCTGGCATGGTGGCATATACCTGTAATCTTACCACCTGGGAGGCTGACACAGGAGAACTCCAGTTCAAAGCCAGGCTGTGCTACATATACACAGCAAAACGGGGAGAGCAACCAAGAGAAGTGGACTCAGGATAACTTCAGGTAAGTCAAGAGGAAAAATGAAACCATATAAACAAGCATGTTTACTTAGAAACACTGAAAAATGTGCTCACTTTGTAGAAGTAGAAGGTACATTTTACAAGAATTACTATGTAGCCCCCACCATAGTCCTTTTTAATGACTGTTCAAGGCAGCATGTAGAAGAGAACCTCTTTGCTGCCATTATCACGAGCTGTTCTAAGTCAGAAGAGTTGAACAGCGAGCTGACTTCAGTGGACAGGCACTCCACTCAGGAACACAAGCGTTCTGGTCATCGTTATCCATCTGATGGCTACAGGAAAGTTCACTGCGATGACTGTTGCCACAACAGTCTTTTCTTCACTAACAGGTTCATGTGCTATCAGCTTTAGCATCTTGGAGCTTGAGCAAATACTTGAGTCTTTCTAAAGGCAAGGCACTAGCTACTTCTGAGACATCACTAATATCCTTTAAGTGGTTGTATTTGTGTATGAGCAATGTTGGGAATGTGAATTGTTATTGTTATTGAAAAGTAATTGTTATTGAAAGTAAGCCTATCAATTTATCAAATATCTATTGATAACCACTGTGATACTTGAGAACTAAAACACAATACAACAAAAACAATGTGATTGAGGTACATACATTTGTGTGAATTCTAGGTACATACATTTGCACATTCTTCACACATAACTGTGCTAGTCAATTCACCAATAAAGATCCGATCTATGAAGTTCATCTTCACGCCTTCTTTACCATAGGCTGTAAAAAGCATCCATTTTTTAAATTAAAATTTCACAATTATCACTGATCCAACAGTTACATGCCATTATTTGTTTATTCAAATGTCACTTAGATAAAGTATAGCTTCTATATTATATCCAATAATGTATTTATTATGTTAGATCTTTCTCCTTTACAATTTTTAAAAATTTTTTTAAGACTTATTTATTTATTTATTTTATGTATATGAGTGATCTATCTACATGTACACCTGTACACCAAAAGAGGGCATCTGATCTCACTATAGATGGTTGTGAGCCACCATGTGGTTGCTGGGAACTGAACTCAGGACCTCTGGAAGAGCAGCCAGTGCTCTTAACCTCTGAGTCATCTCTCCTACCTCCTTCACAATTTTGTAAGGGAGATATATATGACTATCGAGTACGATGATCTGTAGGAATTAACATCATGTAGGTAGGGATCGATCTCATGTCATCAGAGTTGGCAGCACATACCCTTACTTGCTAAGTCATCCTGCCAGCCCAAAATAAATTTAACTAATTTATTAGGTAAAATTAATATAGCAATAACTACTAACTCATATCACACCCCAGCTGCTCCCATTAATCTTCTTGATGCCTTTGTACCTAATGTAAAGTTAGACAGAATAGGGAAAATAGCTGTTTTTGAGGCTAAAGATTCTAGAACCTGGCTATGAAAAAGGGATATAAAAAGCAAGTATGTGAAGTACACAGTATAAGAAGTGACCCTGGGCAGCTGATAGCTCATGTGAACATATACACCCATGTGCTTGATTACACCAAAAAGTTGAAATGATTCTGTATAAGAAGTACTTACAGATCAAAAGAAATTGTGCTAATGGTTTGCTTTAAATAACCAGGCATTGGAGGAAACTGACCAAGCAATATGCTATGGATGTAGTTAAGTCACACACACACATACACAGAAAATGCATTGTGCTAATCTTTCTGCTCTGACAGATATTTAAAGTTTTTTCAATAAAACCTGAGACAGAAAGTCTATTAACAAACCTGTTCATCTTGCTTTCTATCCTTTGCAAGTCTCTACCTTCAGAAAAAGGTATCCCAAACACTTAATAACAGAGAAGACATACTTTAATGCTCATAGACATTTTATAGTAACTATTAGGAAATACAGTGTTTCACTTAGAAAAATCAAGGGATTTAAAGGAGAGCTGACACAAACGGAAAGAAACCAGGGTTGTTGCTCTCAATACGCACTGGATGGCAGCATCACAACAAGGTAATAAGGCACAGATGAGAAACTATGTCCTCCAGCTGCCCCCACTTCCAAGACAGGGTCTCACTATGTAGCTCTAGCTGTCCTGGAACTCACTATGTGGACCAGGCTAGCCTTGAACTCACAGAGATTCACCTGCCTTTGTCTCCCAAGTGCTGGGATTAAAGGTGTGTGCCACTACACCTGGCTGAGAAATAAGTCTTTTTTTTTCAGAGCTGAGGACCGAACCCAGGGCCTTGCGCCAAGCGCTCTACCACTGAGCTAAATCCCCAACCCAGAGAAAGTGAGTCTTAAACCTGTAAGTACAATAGAATGTTAGAGCATTTCTTTATAAATTATGATCATAAACAGTATAATACTACAAAAATAAAAGTTATAAATAAAACATATCTTACAGTGTCCTCTAACAATGATTACTTCATACTAAGAGTATTTAAAGGCAGAATATACACTAAGAGTAGGAATTGGATGTCACAGGCTATAAACTCAAGCTGCAGTATCTATACAAGCTATGCTTAATCATTGGCTTGTCTTACATTGACAGACATGTAGCAAAAGGCTGGAGCAGGCAAGATGTACTGCTATTATTAGTCTCTTAAATATTCAGTGAATCTGCAACGTCTTTAGAGCATACAGACGTTTTGTCTAGATAAAACAAGGTAATGTGACTGCCCTCTGAACTGAACTCGATACCCTCTCCACAGCGGTGGTGAACTGATAATGTAAGTATCAATGTAGGTGAACAATGCAGGCACAGGAAGGCAGTAGACTCAAACGGGGAGTACGTTTCTGATGGTAAACTAGACATGGCAGCAAACTGCTTTCTTTAGATAAATGTCTCCGAGCCTAAATCAGAGGAGGCCCTCCTCACAATAAACAGTGGTGAGTGCACCCTCACGGCTGCCCCGGGATGCAGAAAGTAGAGCCAGTGTGGTCCCTTACACACTCTCCGTAAGGCAGGGAACACTGCGGAAGAGGGGGCAGGAAGGATGTAAGAGCAGAAGACAGGGTGAAGGGCTACAAAACGCCATTTCCTAGATGTGATACAACTACTGTAATCATCAACTCATATCAATACTGCATCAGGACCACACAGGACCAGCATTATCAATCAATCACGGAGCTCAGGAGGCCTTATCCTTTACCTCTGAACTACTGGCTAGCACTAGATTCTGGAAAAGGAGGAACCACTGTCTTTGGGGTTGGTGAGGAAGAGGAGAGGCAGATGGAGATGATAGGGCAGTAGGCAGTGAGGGTTGTTGTTATGAAAAGTGCACACATGTGAAGTTGAAAAAAAATTAGTTAAAAAAGAAATCTAAGAAAAAAATAGGTGCTACTCATATAACATGGAAATGTTACTGCACAACCTCCAAAAGAGGGTGCTACTTTCAACAATCTTTGAAGTCTCCCTTAGACGATCCCATGTATGGACATCAGTGTCAATCGATCATGTGATATTAATTTAAGAAAAAAATTATACATACATTGTCACATGTTCTTTCTGTCCTAATGCATTCTTTTTTGTGGACAGACTCTGAGTCAGCATTTTCAAATTTTCAAGCATGGTTTCATCAGAAAACTGTTGACACCCACTTCTTTAGTCACATGACAGCACCCATTAAACACCCTTCTCAAACACAGCATCAGAGTAGTACCTCCTTGAGCAACATTTGCATGCCCATCACCTCAGCTGCCTCATCTACCAAGCCAGGTCACAAGTCCTTCACCAGAAGGTGACAGACACCCAGCAAGTTCTGAAGGCTTCTGGTCAAGTTGACCACAACACAAAGCAAGCATGTCCATCCCTATTCCCCAATCACCACCACTTGTCCTTTAGAGAGTAGTCCTTTTTAATTTTTGTTTTACATTTATGTGTTTAATGTACGAGTGTTTGCATATATGTAAGTACATCATTATGCATGCAGGTCAGAGGTGTTGGGTCCCCGGAAACTGGAATTACTGAGGGCTGTGAGCCACCCATGTAGACACTGGGAAGTGAATGCAGGTGTTTCTGCAAGAGAAAAAAGTGCTCTTAACCACTAAGCATCTCCTGATCCTTATTTTGGGGGAAGACAGGGTCTCAACTGTGTAGCCTTGACACTCATAAGAGGCTGGTCTCAAAGAGATCTGCATGCCTCTATGCTCAGCCCTGGAGATTTCTTGTTTCCCTTTAAAAGAGAAGGAAATGACGCTTTCTACTGTACCTAAGCCTGCCCTGCCCAGTAACACAATAATTAAAGCTATATTCCATCCTGTAGCACAGCATAGGGTTCTAGCCACAATCCTCTCTTGAGAAACCATCTGCATGGGCAGACTTACAGGATCCCTTACTGCAACATTAAAACACTCTTGCTAGAATGCTGAAGTCTCTCAGAAGTTGGGATGAACTGAATCATTCTGACTTTTATATGCCAACCCACATGGAACAAAATATTAGTTCCCTCAACAGAAAAGATATACTTTATCTAATTCTTATAACTGAGAGACTCGAGTGAGCAAGTATTCTTAAGAACCTGGTTATGAAGACTGTACAAGGAAAAGGGCTCAAAGGAAAATTAAGGTATTTTGCAGTTGACATTTTTTTAAATCAATAAGAAAAACTGGCATCACAATTTCTTCTTAAATACAGTGTTGTCTGACATACTGAGTGATGCAGGACTATTTCCTGTATGATTTGCCTCCTCAGTCACTGCCCACAAGACTCAAGTACTACACAATAGCATCTCTGCAATATACATGCATGTATGCCTTAAACACCACACAATGTCGTACTTGTAAAACCCAACGTAATACTAAAGTAGTGTATTCTAATGTGCATTTACAACCACCCAGACAGGTTTACTCTACAGTTCTGAGAACAGCAAGGCACACATTCATAATGCCCCCAATGGAGAAGTTGTCAGAATATTGCAGGTGCAGGCACAAAGTCCAGCTTCATCTCTAACATTGTGGAAAGGGAACAGACATCACTAGGCAGTGCCTATGTTCCTCCCCTTTGCCACTAGGGCGGAGTCCAGGAGATGCATGCTCCTTTAGCGATTTAGTTCACATAATGCTCAACTGCTCCTCTGTAAAGAAACTGTTCTAGGTTATTTGCATATATTCATTTTATAAATAATGTGGTTTCATTGTATTTTCACACGTGTCTTTCAACATAATTTATCCCCGCAACATTTTTGTGCCCCCCTACTTCCACTGATCCCCTTCTTCCTCTTCCTTACAGGAGCAAGGGTAAAGATTGCTTATTTTTTTTTTTTTTTTTAAAGATTTATTTATTTATTATGTATACAGCATGTATGACTGCAGGCCAGAAGAGGGCACCAGATCCCATTTCAGATGGTTGTGAGCCACCATGTGGTTGCTGGGAATTGAACTCAGGACCTCTGGAAGAGCAGCCAGTGCTCTTAACCTCTGAGCCATCTCTCCAGCCCCAAAGATTGCTTATTTACATATGCATGGGCATCCTACCAGTGGCTGGATCTCTGAAAAAAAGTCTCCTTCCTCTAGCAACCACGAACAGCATTTACATACTCGGGGAAGGATGTGTTTTCTGATCCCTCCACTCTGTATAACAGGTTTGTTAAGGTACTGGAAAACCACAGCTGCTCAGAGTTCAGGGGTGCAAGGTAGGCCATGCCCAGGGGAAAGTGTTCTCTAACACTCTACCCTTTCCCTGGATCTTAGATGCTCCCTGAGCCTTGCGGGGAGGAAGGAACCTTTAATATATTACTCTAGAAAGCACTTTAACAGAGTCCACATACCTTTGACTTTTTTTCTAGTTTCATCATCAGCAGTCTTAGGAGTTGGGTTATTAAATGCTTTCAGAATGCTAGCTTGTATCCTCTGTAAAACAAAGACAAGAGAACCCAGTGATGGTTAATGAAGATCTCATTCTCAATAAAGGGACTTTCAAATAGCAAGGTACACTATGGTTTCTACCCAGAAAATAAAATATTTGAATCTTAAATAGGTTCTTATTGTTAGGCTATGCAGTTTTATTCTGTTTTAAAAGTTTTATGAGATTGAGATTTCCCTAACATATACACATTTAGAAACATTAAGCGTATTCTATCTTTCAGTTCTAAGATTCCACAAAAGACCAAACTCTCTGAGTGGCTATGATAGTGCATGCCTGTCATCTCAGCATTTGGAGGGAGGGGCAGGATTGTGAGATATAGCGAGTCTGGACTACAGAGTGATAGCCTGCTTCTAAAACAAATTCAAAAACAAAACAAAACAAAAGGTCTCAAACCTCTCTAATGCCAAAATTTCATAGATGAGTGTCAACTTTGTTTAGGTTCTGAGGATTTAAAGCATTTTTACCAGTTACAACAGCAAGTAACCTAGTTAGTTCAGGTTCTCCTTAGGGTTAGCTAGACTAGCTGAGAGGATGACTTCTGGGTTCAGTAAGAGACACTGCCTCAACATACAGGGTGAGGAACTATTAAGGAAAATACCAAAGTCAACTTTGGGCCTCCATGCAGAAACATACAGGCACTCACACATGGGAACAGACAGACAGACAGACAGACAGACACACACACACACCCTAAAACCCAACACTACTGCCTGAAATAGACTTTAAAAAAGATTTATTATTTATTTATATGTGCCTGTATGTAAGGTGCATGGGTATTTGCAGGTTTCCAAGGAATCCAGAAGAGAGCATTGGATCCCCTGGGACTGGAGTTATAGCTCCTTGTGAACACCCCAGTATGAGAGCTGGGAACCCAACTTTGGCCCTGCAAGAACAGCCAATGCTCTTAACACTAAGCAGTCTATCCAGACGCTGAAATGGCTTTTACTGTGAAAATGACACAAAATTGTCTGGTAAAAAAGCAAATGCCAAAGTATGTGGTATACTTCAACAGAAAATAAAAACACTGCATATCAGAATCTAAGATATTCTCCAATGTTCAGAAGAAATTTCATACCTTAAATATTTCAGTAAATTGAAAACAATAAAAACAAATGGGTTAAGCAGTCAAATTATGAATTTAGAGAAGGGGGTGCCAAGACCAAATAAAAGTAGAAGGGAAAACTTCACAGGAAATGAAAACAGAAACTGGACAGAAATACATGAACCCAAAGTTAATTCTTTAGGTATAGGATAAATAAAAGTACTAGCTAATCTTACCATCATAAAAGGAAGCTTAATATCATACTTAAATAAAAGAAGCCAATAAGAAAGTTAAAGAAAATTTAAATAACCCCCAGAGAATACTTTCCAAGATAATTACATTTGAAACTTTGGAAAAAATACAGTAGGTAATTTTCCAAGAAAATACAATTTTTAAAATTAATTCTAGGAGAGATAGAAAATTATCTACCATGCCAAGGAGGAGGGAAGGAGGGAAGGAAAAGAAAGAATTAAAGCCTAAATATTTCACAGATTACCAGCAAACCTGTTTTAAGGCATAGTATTTCTTTTAAAAAATGGTTCCAAATTACTTTTATGAAGTATAATAAAGATCAAAAAACTGACTCGAGAGAGCTGAGGAAGGAACTCACTTGGTAGAGTGCTTGTCTGATAAACACAAGGCCTTACATTCAAGCTGTAGTACTGGGGGCATGAAAAAGGCCAGCTGGCTAACACTGCTGACTCCCAGGCCTCAGTCACACAGCATGGTGCTCTCGCTCTCACGCTCCCTCCTATGGATCTATAATAAACTCATTACACACACGTGTGTACACACACACACACACACACACACACACACACACAATGACCTAAACATTCATGTTAAAGGAAAAGGAAAAGCCAGGAATGGAGCTGCTTAAACACACGTGATAGAGTGCAGCTAGCTGAGACATTCTGCCTTTAACATAATCTTACTCAACAATGGATTAAAATGATGCATCTTTAAAATAGTAAGTCTAATCTTAGTAAAAGCTCTATTAGACGGGGAAAAAAACCAAAGAAAGCATGAATCTGAAGGTAAAAGGCTGCCCATAAAAGAACTACTTACAGTAAATGTAATTATATAGTCTGCACATACACAACATGTATAACTGGACCACATGCCCCCTTTAGCACTGCATTCAAGTTAGCAGTAGTATATTCCTCAACCTTACTGTTACAAGAAAAGTCTTTAAGGAAACAATAGGAAAGGTCAGTAGTTTTCAGTCATTTCTCCATGATTCTGGTGGCAGACATAATAACTGCAGCCTTTCTTCCATCAAGAAAGCCAGGGCAGTAACACGTGTGAACAGCACACTCAGCATCTGTTCATTCCCAGGCAAGACAATGCAGCTCCTGTCTACAGACTCACTGTAACCGACCAGCATGGCCGTTCCGCTTGTGAGGCTAAATGCATCCAGAGACACGACATTTTAATTTTGTCAAACTGTCTATGGCCCTCAAATAGCAGAATAAGAGCAACATGTACTGTCTGTGTTTTTATGATAATGCACAACAGAGAAAAACAATGCATAGAAAAAAATTTAATTAATTTGCAATGGCGTATGAATATCACATAATAAACATACTTCTGCAGAAAAAAAATCTATATAAAGCTGTAAGAAAATGTGATAAAATTTTAGCTCGGGAGAATGTTAATGTCTCCAAAACTTAATTATAAATTTCTTAATTTATCTTTAAAAAACAGGTATAATATGATGTAGTAGTTACCCATCAACTTATTTAAATGATAACATTAAAGTAGCTACAAATCCCCAGGAAGCCAGAAGGAAGAAGCTATCACAGTGAGCACCGTGCTGGCTTTCAGCAGGAGAAGAAACACTGCCGTCTTCTGATAGAAGTGAAAAAACTCTAAGAGCCAAAGAAGCTGGAGGGAAGGAGAACAGAGGATAAGGGGGATACTTTCTAGATGGTTGTTTGTTCCTGTATTTATATGCCGGGGGCTCAATATTTAAGACAACCTTTCTACCCTTCTTTTTGTGTCTTCCTTTCTTCCTTCCCTCCCTTCCCTTCCCCTCCTTTCACTCCTTCCTTCCCTCCCACCCACCACCACCACCACCACCACCACCACCACCACCACCACCACCACCACCACCACCACCAGCACCACCACCACCACCACCACCCCGGCCCTGTTCCTTCCTAACTTCCTGAGACAGGGTCTCACTACTCAGATCTGCTTGCCTCTGCCTCCCTTGTGCTGGGATTAAAAGCATGCAGCATCACACCTGGCTCTTCTTCTTGAGAGGTATCTCACTATAAACTGGGTCCAAGCAATCCTTCTGACTCAACCTCTTGAGTAGCCTGGACAGTAGCTAGAGACCACAGTGAGTTCTGTCTCTAAGCTACGTTGAGTTGATTTTAGAGCTGAGGGACATTAAGAAAAGGACAAGTGGGGCTACAAAAGTATAAAAGAAATAATCTTACTGAAGAAAGGCAAAAATATAGACTAAAGTGACAGAAATTGTTCCAGGTTAGTATCTTTGCCTTAAAGAGAACACGTGACACACATTAAGAAATCTGACCTTTGTCTCCTCTGTCCTCACCGCATCCAACAAATGGTGCAAAAGCTCCTGGCTGTCCTGTTGCTGGAAACCTTTAAACCGAGGAGCCCTAGGATGTGAAAACAAAGCAACAAAGAAAAAAAGGAAGAATCATCCCACAGATCATCAGTAACACATCAGTCTTATGTAAGATCATTCTGAAATAAATTAATGGTCAGTTTACTACTTTCCAATTAAACAGACACAATGTTCTTCCTGTTCCAGGGCAAATGAGCCCATTGGGTAGGCACTTACCTTTGATTAGGCATGTCACACACAGTACTGACAGTTTTACACACTTTAACTCCCCCATCCCTAAAGAGTCTCACTGAAATGTGCAATGTTCTCAAGTTGTAAATCATCTTTTTGTACACTGTGAAGATGTGTCATTCCGATTGGCTTAATAAACATGGCCAATAGCTAGGCAGGATTTTCAGGCACACAGAATGCTAGGAAGAAGAAGGAGGGAGTGGCCAGCCAGAGGGAGAGAAAGCAGCCTGGGCACTACAGAGTAAAGGTAATAAAGTCACGAGACAAAAAGGAGACTGATTAACAAAAGGGGGGGGGGGTAATTTAAGTTATAAGAGCTAGTCAATAACAAGCCTAAGTGATCAGCCAAGGTTCTATAGTTAATAACAAGTCTTCAAGTCATTATTGAGGAGTTAGCAGTCCTGACAAAAAAGGTCAGACTACAGGGACCGGAAGAGATATTAAAATACGCAATGTCATAGAGCCAGCAAGAAAAACAGCACTCAAACCCAAGTCCCTGTGATTTCTTTTCACCTAAAGAATAAAAGGATTAAGATACATTCTGTATCTTAATATAAATATCCATTTGCTTTTTATTTTAGAAGAAATACAGTCACACAGTTAACAGATTATATCTTAATATAACTACACATCAGTAATTATGTGAATATAGTCCTTCTAAGGATTTAATAATTAGATTTCCTGTGTGACTGAATGAGATAGTTAAGTGCTAAACACAGAGACACCAATGGCAAATATTGAGTTGATTTTGGTAACTTTTCAAGTCTGCAGAAGAACAGTGCTGGGAGTATCACAACACCTGATTTCAGTGAGTTCTGCAGAGCCACAGTAACAAAGCCAGAGTGGCAGTGGTACGAACACAGTCATGTGCACCAACAGAGAAGAGCAGACAATGCAGACACGAACACACACTTCAGCAGCCGTGTCAAAGGCTTACGTCGGAGAAAAGACAGCCTCTTCAATAAATGGGGCCAAGAAAACTTTGTACCCACGTGGGGAAGAATGAAACTAGATGCTATCCTTCACTCTATAACAATCAACCAAAATGCATAAAAGACTTTAACGTAACACCTGAAACGAGAAACTACTAAAAGAAAACCAGGGAAACACTTCTAGATACAGGCATAGGCGAAGACTTTCTGAAACAGCGTCTTATAGCTTAGGAAAGAGCAAAACATTTACAAGTGAGATTGCATGAAATTAAACTTTTCACAGAAAAATAAACAATCAGCAGCATGAAGAAAAATCCTTGCCGTAAACTACTAGTTTAGTATCTAGAATATCTAAGTAAAGAACAACCACAAAAAAAAAAAAAAAAACCCCACAGGAAATAACCCAGCAACAAATGGAGACATGAACACTGAATAGACAGTACTCGGATGGCCAAGAAAGTTCCATACCTTTAGGAACAGGGAAATTCAAAATCAAAACTAGACACCAAAGTTGCACCCAGTCAGATGGCTATCATCAAGAAGCCAACAAACAGCTGGGCGGTGGTGGCGCACGCCTTTAATCCCAGCACTCTGGAGGCAGAGGCAGGCGTATCTCTGTGAGTTCGAGGCCCGCCTGGTCTACAAAGCAAGTTCCAGGAAAGGCGCAAAGCTACACAGAGAAACCCTGTCTCGAAACACCCCCCCTAAAAAAAAGAAAAACCAAAAAAAAAAAAAAAAAAAAAGCCAACAAACGCTGGCAGAGATGTGGGAGAAAAAAAACAACCCTCATAAACTGTGGGTGGGAATGTGCAGTGCCAGAGGCATTATGGAGATCAGTACAGAGGTTCCTCAGAAAACTCAAACAGATTGACCATATGACCCAGCATGTTCGAGACTGAACATTTAGGTCAGCACATAAAAGTTATGCACACTCACGTTCATGCAACACCAGTCACAACAGCCGAGTCATGGTGTTCAGAATTAGTTTAGTTGTTGTGTCCAGCAATACACAAATGGGTAAAGAAAATGTATTCCTACACAAGAGACTTTTATGCAAACACAAAGAAAAACTTGTGTCATAGGCAGATAAATGAATGGAACAGGAGATCAAAATGTTAAGTCAGATGAACTATGAACCAAAGGCTGAGGGGCTCCCAGCTGGGTCAGGCCCTCTGAATAGGTGAGACAGTTGATTGACTTGATCAGTTTGGGAGGCAACTAGGCAGTGGGACCAAGTTCTGTGCTCAGTGCATGAGTTGGCTGTTTGAAACCTGGGGCTTATGCAGGGACACTTGGCTCAGTCTGGGAGGAAGGGACTGGACCTGCCTGGACTGAGTCTACCAGGTTGATCGCAGTCCTTGGGGGAGGCTTTGCCCTGGAGGAGGTGGGAATGGGGGGTGGGCTGGGGGTAAGGGGGGGGGGCAGGAGGGGGGAGAACAAGGGAATCCGTGGCTGATATGTAGAACTGAATAGTATTGTAAAATAAAAGAAAAGAAAAAAAATGTTAAGTCAGATAAGCCAGATTCAAAAAGAAAACTTCGTTTTTCTCAGATGTGGAAAACTCAATAAAACAAAGTAAGATATTAAAGTGAAAGGGGACTATTTGGGAAGAAGAAAGGACCAGTGGGGGGGGGGGTGGAAATGTCATCATGAAATCAACTGTTTGTACAATGAATATAAGCAAGTACAAAATTCTAAAATCTGTAATAAATTCCAATGTTAAGATGAATGTCTTGTCTTAAATGAAAGCTAGCCCTAGAATGCAGTCTAATCTAAGGTGAATTCTATGAAAAGAACACAGGAGCACAGTACAAAACAAATTTACAATAATTTCACTATGATGTGTGTGTGTGTGTGTGTGATCTCATTTGATATAAACAACACTGTTAAAGACTCTGTAAAGATGCACTGCCTTTTTCTACTTGAAAAGACTGAAGAAGAACAAGCTAAATGCCACTAAATACCAATCCGGCTCTTACGACCCAGAATCCAGTACTTTAAATAGCATTCCTCATACTCTCAAAATTAGCATCCACCCTACGGTGCACTGATGTGCCTGCCACAGAGCTAAGTGAACTGGCAGTGAAGTTAACACAGAAGTGGAAGCGCCACTTCAGTGAGCTTTTTGCTGGGCAGCTGCAAATAGCACCATCATGCTAGAGAATGCCTGTGGGAGCCGGTCAGAGAAACTCGGGCTAGAAGCAAACCCCAGTGCTATCTGAGCCGCCACACTGGCATCACAAGAGGTAGAGATTACATAATAGACCTGTGCTGTCAACATCAAGCAATGTTAGTGAAATCAACTAGTCAGAAGCAGGAATCCTTCGGGTATCTTCCTTAGCAAGGCGCTTCAAGCAGACAGATACACAGGGTGGAGATCATTTCTGAAGCTGCCTTCCTACATCTCCATCTCAACCATGTACAAACTGTTTATTGCCTTCTGAATAATCACTGAAAAAAATTAAACCTAGGGTTTTTTTTTCATTCTTTTAGTGAGAACTGGAAAACATAATCCAATAACTTATAAAATTTTTGAAGGAGACCATCTGAGGTATCAATATCAAAAGACCTTCAAACTTACTTTTAAGAAAGTTAACAGATACCAAATATATGAAGACATTCAGCCTACTGAATAAGAGGACATTTATAGGAAATGTGCCTTAGTATATTAACTACCTTCTTTATGACAATATATCTGACAGATACACCTGAAGGGAAGAGAGCTTTATTTGAGCTCAGGGGTCCAGAAGGCGCATTCCATTATGGTGGGAAGGGAATGATGACATCCAGAGCAGGTTGGTTCATGGCAGTAGGAGCTTGTCATGCAGCTTATTCACATCTTGGTGGACCAGGAAGCAGAGAGGATACTGGGCCCGGACACAGGGCCAGGCTATAATCCCCTTGGCCTTACATCCACCAACTCAGCCCCAAAGCAGCACCAGCAGCTGGGGACCAAGTGTTTAGACACATGAACCTCCATAGGACATTTCAATTCAAACCTTATCACATGACAAGAAGGATGCTGTCCAGGAGCAAAGAGTGCTGGAAAGATTGCTCAGTGGTTAAAAACAATCACTGTTCTTACAGAAGAGCAGATTTAAGTTCTCAGTACCCACATCAGGAGGTCCTCCAATTGCCTGCCACTCCAATTCCAGTGCTCCAGTGGTCTCACAAGGCACTAGCACACATGCAGTGCACATAAGCACACACACACACACACACACACACACACACACACACATAAATTTTTACAGTATTTTTTTAAAAAGAAGAGGGCTTTTAAAATCCTCAAGATACAGGGGCTGGGGAAGTGGTTAACAGTTAAGAGAATTAGCTGCTTTTCCAGATGGCCCAGTTCAATTCCCAATACTGAGCTGGATCCCTAGAATCCACATAAAGGTGGAAGTAGAGAACTGCCTTCACAAATTTGTCCTCTGAGCATGTGTTACTGTGACACATGATGTATCAACATATAAACACACATACAAGTAATAATAATAAAGCTGTAATAATAATTATTATTTATAATAATAAAGTAGTAGTAGTAATAGAGAGGGGGGAAAAAGTCCAAGTGAATTCCACGGATCACAAACCTAAGGTAGGCAAAGCAAAGCACAGCCATGTTGGGCCTGAAAGAGCTCAGCCTTGAAGAGCTAGAGATAAATGTATTTCACAAGGACCCAGATGAAGCTCACTGTTGAAGGATAGGGGACAGTTCCTTAAGCCTTAAGGAAAGCCGCCTGGACAATGTTCCCAAAGGCCACAAAAGAACTAAGACAGCCTGAGTACCTAAAGCTGAGCCTTTACACCACACATCCAAATTATGGCCACAAAGTAACATTAGGAAACTGATCTCCAAGGGTAGCCA